GAATTGGCAAACGGGGCAGAAAGAAAGCGGAATCTGCTTACGGGGAGTAATTATAAAGGTCAGGGAGACAGAGGAGGGGGTAATAATAATGGTGGCCGTCGGCAAAAAAATACCAGGTATGACATTTGGCCTCGAGGAATATGCATTGTTTTGCACCCGAGAGTGAGAAAGAATCTATCACGAAAAACAAACGGAATTGTTTGGATGAATGGTTTGAAGGAGCGGCTGACAATAGTTATTCATCACGCACTCGGCCTATTTCACGGCCACGGCCCTGAGCTGCTCCTGGTTCCTAGCTTAGACTTATGGACGCTCCTCCGAATTCTGTCAATCGTCTGTCCAGTTTCAAAATAGAGGATTGCTTTGAACTAGAAGACGGTGTAAGTGTCGCCTTATTACCGCCGATGAACGATTTGCTCTCCTGGTCCTATGCGCTCGTTCTGGCCATATTCAGTGATAGCGTGCTCCTTATATAATATAGTATTTTCCTCGATACATGATCGTGCCGAGTAATAGGACAGATGGAGTGGCCAGCACTAGGGGACATCTTCAGCGCCTCGTCTCGCGCCTCGTAGCCGATGAGGAGTTTAGCCCTGATTTTGTCGCCAATTTTTCCTCGTCGCGGAACGAGTATGGAGCGGGGCTGGATGGTGTCAGCGGTCGGAATGGGATCCCATACGTGACAGCCGCGACTTGACAAATGAGTCCTTACAGCCCGTCGGGGACGAGGGCTACGGAGACAGCTAGAGAACGTTGGAAGTGGCTGAAGCGTCGCTTCCTGGTTGCTCGTTTCTGGTAGACAGTTGGGATCAATAACAGGCAACATCGTCGGCGACGCAGGCGACGCAGCGACTCGACGCGTCTAGCCCCTGCGTCCTGAAGCGCGGGTGTGCAGCGGACCCACTGTTGAAAACGGTTAGAATGTCGACGAGATCGTGCTTGGAGAGTTTACTTTGGATTGTCAGCGTCAGCGAGCCTATTCTGGCCTCGCTCGAAACGTAGGGCCGGGTAATGATGACCCAAAGAGGCCAAATGACTTTTGAAATTCAGCCCTCTTTCTGACCTCAATCCCAGTTTACTGGAGATCTCCGTATACAGTTCCAAATCTCGCACTTGGTTATCCCATGAGACCTACTAAATCGCTTGCAAACGCATTTCAGCACATTCTCGTGTCAAATCCACGCCCAGCGGTCAGGCTGCTCACGCTCAACCGACCCAAGGCGTTGAACGCCCTCTCCACGCCCCTGTTCAACGAGCTCAATCAAGCTTTACTCAATGCCGATCAAGACAAGGATGTCTCTGCTGTTGTGCTCACTGGGAGCGAAAAGGCATTCGCTGGTGAGTTGAACTTGATCTCGCTCTTTTCGACAGGCCGAGTCCGGATCATCCCTGAGATCCTCAACATATCTAACATTCGTAATGCAGCTGGCGCAGACATCAAGGAAATGCAGTCTAAATCATTCTCAGAAGTGTATTCTACCGATTTCCTGGCCAGCTGGACTTCCATCAGACAAGTTCGCAAACCTATCATTGCCGCGTATGTCACACCCATGCCAAACCCACACGCATCCACACACTCGCCATCCTCCAACTTCTAGATACTTCTGACAACTCAGTCAACTAACTCGTAAACTTTGCAGTGTAAGCGGCTATGCGTTAGGAGGGGGAGCCGAGCTTGCTCTTATGTTCGTAACCGAGATCTCCCCTCTTCAATTAAAAGTTCACACTCAACGCCACTAATTTCCTCATACTTTCCTCATTTAGGTGCGATATCATATTGGCCTCGCCCACTGCGAAATTTGGTTTACCCGAAATCACCCTGGGCGTCATTCCCGGAGGTGAGTGAGCCATGATTATTCTTGCAGAGTTTGATAGGGAAGAGAGCTTTATTGGCCGGCCCGCAGAAGCCCCATTCCTTCCCTGTCATGCTTGCAAAATAGACTTTTATCCTGACATATACCTGATTAATACAGGGGGTGGCACTCAGCGGCTTGCGGGTATTGTGGGTAAAAGTAGAGCCATGGAACTTGTTTTGACAGGCCGTCAATTCGATGCAGAAGAAGCTGAACGCTGGGGAGTTGCCAGCAGGATCGTCCGAACCGAAAAGAAGGAGGGAGACGAGCACCTCCCCGTGGTTCAGGAGGCTCTAGACATGGCCTCCAAAATAGCGAGCTTTGGACAGTTATCTGTACAAGCTGGGAAGGAGGCAGTCAATGCAGGTAAGGGTTTTGTGCATCGCGTCCCTGAGGAGAACGAGGATATTGGGCTGGATCTGACATGAACCCCGAACCAGCTCTTGATCTCCCATTATCCGAAGGCTTGCGGCTGGAACGTCGTTTGTTCCACAGTCTCTTTGCTACCAACGACCAGAAGGAAGGTGAGTGCACAATTTCCCCTCATCTCGTCTGAAACACGATCCTCGCCGCCGTCGCTGACAAACCCCGCTCTTGCGCCACCATCAGGAATGTCCGCGTTCGCAGAAAAGCGCAAGGCCAACTTTACCCATTCGTAATCCCGATTTCACATCTTTTTGGCACACACAGAGATCGCACGTATTTTCACATACAAATAATAAAGTTATATTGAACATGATCGTCACGAGTCCACGTCCGCTAGACGTCTGGTGATCCTGGTAAATCTTCGATATAGCTTCATAATGTCCTTTGCATACACGATATTCTGAAGCGAGCGTCAAAGTCGTCAGAAGGACCAACGTCATGTTCTGCATGCGTGCCATGAGAGAGAGAGAGAGCTTACCGGACTGTCCGCATGTATCCAGCCCCTTTGAAGCCCCGCCTGGACAGTCAAGAGTGTTTCTCTCCACCATGTCATCCATTCTTCGTCCTTGTCATACCTTACCTCTGCGTCCGACATACAGTGCGCGATATCGTCTACGAACTGCCTGTCTTTTCGCTTCCCAACCGGTCTCCCACTCAGCATGTCTGCTTTTGCCATTCTCTGCACAGTCAACACCGTGACCAAGATGAATAGGTCCTTGTCGCATAGGAAGAAATAGCACATTCGCGGATATGCCTGCTGCAGTCTCTTGCGTAGGTTCTGTTCCCACACCCGTATGACCTGTGGATCGGCAGGTTCGATTCCAGGATCATGAATGTACCCATGTGGAGAGGGTGTATAGTTTGGATGTGGGTGATGAGTATACGTATGATGAGGGGGCGATGGGAAATAGGGATCGTGAGGCGAGTACGGCTCAACACCTTCCTCTGAATGTTCGTGCTGTAGTTTGGTGAGCGCCAGTGGTGGTCGTACGAACGACGTCTTGGAAGCGTTAGTGCTCGTCGGTGAACTGGACCGGGTGATCACCGGAGAGCCCGCAAACGAGGACGAGCCAGAGGACGAAGGCGGGTTACCGTTCGTCGTGGTTATCTGATGCGTTGCGGGAGCCTTTGTACCATTGACCAGGAGAGAGGATTTGCCCTTCGCCGCTAGTATCGCCGTAGTATTCGCATTGGTCGAGTGCACTGGAGCTGGGCCACGCTTTTGGGACGACTTTTTGTTGTTTCGTTTATTTTTCATCAATATTCACTGGTACTATTTTCTCTGGAGAATATGGACGCTCTATAGCATTGGTCTGGCGAAACGGCCGGCTGATGGATAATAATCTCAGACGACGAATATCTCCACTCGGCCACGTGAGACGACGATCAGTTGGCTTTGGACGATTTGTTGGTTGCGAATAATTTGCTGCTGTGGATTCGTTGGTTTCGCTTGATTTTTAAGAGATCTGTGGTTAGGGTGCAAAGCTGGAGAGTTTCCAAACTCCGCTTGTCCAGAGAAGGATCCTAGACGCCACAATGACGGCTTTGCCCGTATCACTCAGCGTTCG